GGGAAAAGTTATGGTTTCTAAAGTAACTAAGGCTGTACTAAATTTTGCTTCGCTAATTTTTGTGGCTATCATAATGTGTCATAACGGACAACTTCCGGTATAACTGGAAATTGTTGTTTTGAGGCAAAAGTTGACATATTTCGACTAATTTGTTACCCTAATCTTAAAACGCTCCTACCCGAAATGTTGTGTCTCTAAATTTTTGATATTGGTCAGGTATGATAGGCCTAGTAGTCGTCTTAAAATCCTGCAGTCGTTTGGGAATGAATGAATCGTGTGGATTTTTCTGTGAGTGATCATAAAGTGGTCATTTTACATATGTTTAAAACTATGCTATCCTAAAACGCATGTAGCTGCTTCTTTGCAGGTCTGACATAGAATTGCTTGGTGTGGTTGTGAAGGGCATTTCTCAAAGTAAATGTCAAAAGAAAAAAACTGACCGGAACGCAACCCACTAGAGTGCTGTAATATTCTGAAAACGTGTAAAAACGGTATTTTCCACGAAATTCGTCTTTTCACTGATGACCGACTACTATTTTCAAGAGTTCAAATGACCGTTGATTATGAACATTAGTACTATTTTTTGTTACTTGAACGTTCCTTGTGCCAAATATACTATCTTGGTTAAAAATCATGAAGTTTTTGTGACAAAATCGGACGTTCACGGTCATCGTAGGAAAGGGGCTTAACTGGTGTATAATTTTGCAGAATCAGGCAACGATTATTCTCATCTGTATTCAGTAGTTAGTAGCACGGAAGTGCATAAATGTAAGGACTGGCAAAGCAAGCTTTTATATTAGCACAATTTAACCAAAGCAGCACCTTTTCAGCAATGACCAACGCTTATCTTCAAATGACTACTGATCATCACCATTACTTGTAATATTTCGTAATTTCAACATGAATCGTGTCAAATAGATCATTTTGTTTAAAATCATAATATTTTTGTGACAAAATCTGACTTTCACGCTTGCTTGATAGCCAAAGGGAAGAGTCATAAGTGGTGTGTAATTTTGCAGGGATCAGACCACTGTTATTAAGATCTGTATTCATGAGCAGATCATCATATAAATTTGACTGACATGACTATCATAAACTTGATATCTATTAATTTGTACACCTGCTCATGTAAAGAAGAACCATAAGAAGAAACATTCAGAAGTGTTCATGTAGGGACATTTAATGTCTGGTATTGAAATCTCTGAAGGGAAAGATAGATCACAACAGGATTTATGGCACTCCAGGATAATGTTGACTGCATGTGCCAAACTCCTACATATACCTACGTTCGAGCAGAAGTGCTCACTTACTTAGATTCCTACGTTCGAGTGTAAATGCTCTCTGACCTTCCTTCAAGGTTTTTGGACCACAGAGTACTGTTTTATTTTGTAGTACTGTTTTTGACCTCTTCTCCTTCAGGGATTTCAATATGGAATTATCATAGCCTCCCGATCTATAATGACTCTCCATGAAAACTTCCAAATGTTTCTATACAATGATCGGCTCCTAAATACAGGTGGGAATAAGCTGGTCCGATTCCTAAAATATGTTTGACCAAAATAACCTATTTGGCACAAGGAACATTGGTAGAAAAGGTGTTGTATAGTCGTCTTGCTGATTGTGTGACTACGACTTACTGTCACTGGATCATCTACAATCCCCTCATCCTTAAAACCTGTTACAAGAGTGAACATGTACATCCCTCAGAAACACTTCTTTTACCCAAGAGCTAAAATATGCTCACACTGAATCTTGTATCATATTTCACCTTTCATTATATCATATTTATAGAAGACGATTTGTTCTGTTTAAATTGCATTGGACATTCATGAAACTTCTCCCTGGTCTAACACAGACTTTAGATCCTAAGGTCTGTCATTGGGTTAAGTGGTGTGACAGCATGCCGGTGACATGGTGTGGTGTTGTTTGTCCAACCTCATGGATATTCTCTTTTCCCACAAGTGTATTATTGAAGTAAAATTGTACCATATGTTAGTCCCAAAATGACCTAGTTTGTGTTGAGTGGACCTTAAACCCCATTCCTCTCTCTTAAGTCAAAATCACCCTTGCTAACGAATATATTAACTTTGTGATGATGTCCATAGATACAGTATGCATCACCATATTATGCTAGTCCCAAAATGACCTAGTTTGTGTCCAGTGGACTTTAAATCTCATTTTACTTTGTTCCTCTCATGTCTTAATCATCCTTGCCAACGACTAAATGGAATATATTAAATTTGTAAAGATGTCCATACATATACTTCATCTGGGGTATTGATATACAGGACATTTTATCCTAATTTTTGGTGTTTTTAATATATTTCTCCTGTTTTTATTATGACTGTTCCGGTCATTTTTATTTTGTTAGTAGGAAGGTTGCTAGTTGTGGGTAACATTCAACTTTGGTCCTAGTCCCTGCAAAGAACAAGCTATAGCCTCTTAAACATTGGTTTTCATTAAATTCAATTTTCAGAGAGAGTTGGGTATCCGGCCAGTACCAAGGTATCATTAGCAGTAGAAACTTCAAACTCAGTGTGAAGGAGGAACCTGAGTGGTCCTACTAATGCCCAAAATTTTGTCTATCCAAATCAATTATTGTCCGAATAGCAGGTCATTCAAATTTGGATCCAAAATTGCCTATTTTTGGCTTATTTTTCGATTAAAAAATACTTTTCCAATTTTCCAGGTAGGTATCAACTGAATCAATCTAATATTTTGTGGGGATGTATCTGGGTACTAACCCATCTCACAGAAAAAATTTAGTCCAAATCCCTGACCCAAGGGTTATCACCCCCTGCATGGTGCTCTTGCGGACACGCTCTTAAACATAAAACAGGGCTTGTCAGGAGGTACGAGTCATTACTCGTGCGCACGCTATACTCGCCTAAAAAGGCATTACACGCGCAAAAATTTCAGGAATTCTTTAATGAAAATTTAAACTATCTAAGGCCGTAGTTATTTATTTACCTGGTTAACTTGGTTCATTTGGAACATTTTTTAATTCAATATATATCTACGATAATGTCGATAATATACAAAACAATACTCTGTTTCCCTTCGTACGTGACAGATGGCGATAATATTACGATTACACAATGTTACTAAGAAAAGAATAAAGTAAATTGGAAGATGTCTATTGATTGGACAATAAAGAATTAATTCCTCGCTTGCAAGTAGAATTTTCATGATTGGTTAATTTAACTAAAAACCAAAGTAGAATTCTTGCGAGAAATTACGAGATATGAAACGTGTTGAATGTCGTTACGAATCTAGTATAATGTCATTTTCTATCCTTTATGATTATATTTTGAATGGTGGTTACGTTTTTAAGTAAATAATAAACAAGGTAGAGAATATAGTTAGAAATGCCGAGAAGTATTTAGATACGATTAACATTAGCTAGTCAGAACAAGGTCCGTTGACTTTGCTGTATGACTACAATGAGTGCTATTAATAGTATCATTGTTTAGCAGTCGACATCGTAGGACGACTGTTACATTCTAAGATTTTCAAACATCAAATACAAAATGACAACGGGCAAGTTTTGTTATAAAGAGGAATATAATCAGACACAACTCTATGTAATGGGGGAAATCTCTGAATAACCGAACCGTTTAACCGTCCAGTTCTAACCGTTTACGGCTATCCGACTAGTCGTAGGAGCACTAGTACATTCAAGGGCCATAATTCAGGAAGTTATTATCTGATATGCCCGAATATCAAAAGGAACCAAGATCTTTGGGTTATAAACATGCATTTCAAGTTTCATCAAAATCAGATCAAAATTGTGACCTCTAGAGGGTCCACAACTTTGATATACCAGATGTTTACACTAACTGTGTATGAGGTGCAGCCATTTTGTCAGGCAGTTTTGGTCCGATTTTCACGAAATTTGAACTCAAATCAAAATTACGGTGCAAAAGTGATATATGTGAACATTTTTTTAAATCGGATAATAATTGTGACATCTAGAGGAACCTCAAGCTAAAAGCGTGATTTTTTGAACAATCTCGGGCCATGATTCAGGAAGTTACTATCTGATATGCGCGAATATCGAAAGGAACCAAGATCTATGGGTTATAATCAAAATCAGAAGAAAATTGTGACCGCTAGAGGGTCCATAACATTGATCTATATATATATTTGTGACTGTCATTTGTCTGTCTGTTCGGCTACATTAGGTCTGTCCCGAGTCTGAAATTTGGGGTATAGGGGTAGCTCGGACCGGGGAGTAACATAGGCCAGGTGGCGTTAGTCTACCACTTCCGGTTTCGGAGTTATGACCCTCGAGCGAAGCCGGGTATCCTGCTCGTATACAATAATTTTACGCTATTTGAGTACGAGGGGCGGCCATTTTGTCTGCCAGTTTTGGGCCGAATTTCACGAAATTCCAACTCAACCATCCTTAGGGTGTAACGGTGATACACTAAAACGTTTTTTTAAATTGGTTAAAAATTATGACCTCTATAGGTTCCACAAGCTAGAAAAGCGATTTTTCGTACAATCAGGACCCATAATTCAGGAAGTTACGGTCTGATATGCGCAAATATCTACAGGAACCGAGATCTTTGAGTTATAAACTTACATTTCAAGTTTCAACAAAATCGGATAAAAATTGTGACCTCTATAGGGCCACAAGCTAAAAATGTGATTTTCCGTACAATCAGAGGCCATAATCCATTAAGTTTCGGTCTGATACATACCAATATCTAAAGCAAGCGAGATCTTTTGGAGATGAACCTATATTTTAAGTTTCATCAAAATTGGATAAGAATTGTGACCTGTAGACGGACGGGAGCAACGACAATATATATAAAAAATATGAAAATGTGGGCGTATAAAAAAGGGGGACATGCTTGCACTCTATAAGGATTGGGAACTGTAATAGGTAGGCACACATATTCCAATCATTGCAATAAATCTATGAAATACAGGAAAATCAGCCAAATCGGGGTAATGGCTGAACATTATGATTTTAAGCATCTTGTTTGACTTACCAAGTATAATGACTGATTTAGTACCATCTCCCGTTTCTTCATCTTGTGTTCTAGCAACTTCTATCATAGATTTAGCTGCTGGATGTTGAACGTTTATCTATAAAGTAATTATCAATATCATAAAGGAATTAACCTTACCAGAAAAAGCAGTAAATACTTTTTTTTTTGGTGGGGGGAGTGGGAGGGATCCTTCTCTTATGACAAAAGACAACTCTTTACTGTTCAAGTCTTTTAGATTTAATGTGGAGGGGCACTGTGTTATAGATAGTTGGACAACCAGGGCTGGGAATGAACAGAGTTTTGAAAATTGATTATTGTAAAGTATTGCATTGCTGTCAAATAGATATAACCGCATCATGTTAATAATCAACATTTTTCATTAATCATTAATTTCTTCAAGACATGTTAATGTCTGTAAAATCCTAACCAAGGCACTACACCTCCAGTACACATTGTATCATATGCCAAATAAGTACTAATTCATTATCTACTGCTATTTGATCTGTACTATAAAACCATTACATGCAAAAGCACAAGTTATCAACTTCTTGTACCTTTTGATATTTTCTTTTTACAAGTAAATAATTACAAGGTTTTTGTCTAACATTTTGAATAATATTACATCAAGATATAAAAAAATTATTATTTAGATTTGTCATGCTTAACAGCAGAGCAAACTCCTCTGAAGTACTAGATAAATGTAGATCTGCAAACAATTTTGAATCTATCTTTTTTTTCTACTTGTGTAGGTTGTAACTTCAATTGACTAAAACTTTACATGTACATCTGAAACAAATACAATTTTCATGTATTTAAATATTTGTTTACCTCTCTAAGTATGGCATTTCCATCATTTGTCATAACAATACCACCCATTGGATCCATCAACATCTACAAGAGAAAAAATAAAACTTTATTAGAACAAACCAACAGTGAGGTCGATGTCCCCAACCTCAATCTCAAATAACCAAGAAGACTCAGTCATCAACATCCCAAAAACTTTGACATATTTTGGATAGACAATCTCTGTGTTATTATTAATCAACAACCAAATACTAGTGGTGCACAATATACCATTATAATCAGATGTATAGCAATTACTGGTACAAACTACATGTACCACCATTGTTTTTGTAGAAATCACAATGTCAAGGTATCAAAAGATTGAAAACAGTTCAAGATTTATGAATGATGCCAGTTGAAACAAAATTTCATAAAGATATCTTGAACGGTTTGGAACCATAGTTGCATGCTGCAGAATAATATACTCAGCCAAATTAAAAACTTGACAACTATTTTAGTGTAATGTTGTGCACAGACGACCTTGACATCAACAGAAAGCAAGAATACGTCTCTCCGAAAGTCCTTGACATTGATAACATTCGTGATGTCACAGTACCCCCAAAAATGAAATTCACAGACTTGGAGAACAATCGGAATAAAGTGTTTAGTAACGGTTGTGGCTTCCTCTAGCGTGTCGTACTGCCACACAACGTCTTCTCATGGATCTCAGAACATTAGTAAACACTACCCGAGGAAGCGTCGCCACTGCTCAGCACAAGCATGTTGAAGGTCCTGCAACGTCAGTGGTGGATTCACTTGCTGACGCATACTTGAGCGTAAAATTCACCTCGCCTGCGGTACACTCGGACCCTGCCATCAGCAAATCTCAAAGTGAATCGAGATTCGTCACTAAAGACAACCAAATTCCACTGAGTAAATCTTATGTGTCTTGTGGCCCACACAAGTCGGTTACGGCGATGAAGAGGTGTCAATATTGGTCCATTATAGCACCTCCGAGCTCGAAGACCAGCAGCCTGCAAGCGATTTCGAACAGTTGGTGCAGTTACCCTTCCACCAAACATCTCTCTACTTGTGGAGGTTGCAGTGACAAATCTTTTTCTAAGATGACGTAATCGTATTGCTTGATCTTCCTGGAGTGACGTCACACGTGACGCTACCGCCCTTGGGCGGTCGGCAATAGTTCCAGTTTGAAGCACTCTCATTCTAAGATTAATTATTGTCTGGCGTGAACAATTAAAGGCTCTTGCAACAGTGACCACAGACTGACCAGCATAGAGCCTACCTATAGCACGTAGACGTTCTACATTTGAAAGGCGCGGCATTTTCTAACAAAGATGAAAATAACAATTTTAATTTGTTTTTCCAGTTCAAGTTACGTGTGCGTGTTCAGTTTAAGCAAACTTGCATCGATTGACCTCACGAGTTTGTGTTTGCACATGTTTTTCAGGTTTTTCATCTTTATATGCTCAAAAGTCACGTGATCCACGTGACTTTACAATTTTATGAAATTAAAGGCTTCTTACTACTTACTATCGTTAGAAACACTTTAAAATTTATTTGACTTACCAGAAAAAAAAAATTGTTGAAATTCATCAGTGTCAGGTTTTTAATTTGGCCGAGTATATTTGCATTGCTAAAAACAATGTCAAATGTGTTGCCAATTATTCAACTGACAATAGGATGATGTGTGTATAAAATTTCATAAATATATGAAATATGCTCCGAAAACAAAACCTTATTGAGGTGAAATTCCCAAATAGCAAAATCGAGGGACAATATTATTTTCACAAGATATGCACCGAGATACTGTGTAACATTATTAATAAGCAGGGTTCGAATCTTATTTCCAATACCAAAAGCAATTTTTTGCTTGTTATTTTTAAAATTAGAAGCAAAAACAAAGTGTAACAAGCAAAAACTTTCAGTAATTCTAGTTGTAAATCTAAAATTAATACAACATTTTTCTGCCTGGTGCCAAATGGAAGTATTGAAACAGAATTTGATTGTTTGGACCTTTGTCCATTTAACCACCACTTGTTCACAAATGTGTATCTTATTGGTTTTTGCGTTTACAAAATGTGGTAATCATCTTAGTTACGGCTGCGTAAACCGTGTGAAATGGCCCGTTCGCCTTCTTAGGGTCAACCCAGTTAAGTATAACATGATTGGTCAATAATATCACATGGTTTCAGTTTTGCATATATTATTTGTCGGGAATGTGACATATTGTTATTTCATTGGTTATGTTACGCGTGGCCGATTATATCTGGTCTCTTTGTTGAGACTCAGAGTTTCTTAAAGGAAAGTGAGTCTATACGCAAAATGGCGTCTTACGTAAAATTTTATCGTAAACATTTTCAACCTTTTCACAAAATTAAGCTAATTTCAAAGCCTGAAGAAGTCAAAAAATGTTATTTAAAATTAAACATACATTATACAAGAGCTAAATCTGCCAATTGCAGGTCTTTCTTTGTGCATGAAATGTTATCTAAATATTATTAATTAGACATTAATTAACTTATCCAGACCATAATCAACTCTTGAGGGCATCGCTAGTCTGCGATATTTACTGGATAAGAACTCGGTCTGCTGCTTCTGATTAAATCAAAGATAGGTTGCCAGGCAACAAAACATATGCCCACAGTAGCTAAATCATCCAAGAGATCGACAAGGGTTGTCGCATATTTATACTTTTGTAGGTAATTAGGGGCATTTAATAGACAATTTCATACAGAGGACATTATAATTTTCGTCGTTTGAGGGTTCACAAGGTTCTAAAGATAGGTTGCCAGCCAACAAAACATACGCCCACAGCAGCTAAATCGTCCAAGCGGTCGACAAGGGTTGTCGCATACTTTTTTTTTTGTAATTAATTAGGGACATTTAATAGACAATTTCATACAAACGACATTATAATTTTTGTAGATTGTGGGTTCACAAGGTTCTAAGAACTAAAACAAGGGTCATAAGTCTGGAAGTAATCTACAGTAATTGTTGAAATTCAACAGGCTTTTTGTTTTACTAATTCAAATAATGCACATAAATTTCATACAGATTGGATGATACCTTTTGTCATTCGAACATTCACAAGGTTCAATAAAGTAAAACAAGGGCCATAACTCTAGAATTGACAGAAATTGCTGACATTCAATAGGCTTCTTCATTGCACTAATTTAAATGATGCATATCAATTTCAAACAGATCGGATGATAACTGTTGTCATTAGAGCGTTCACAAGATTCAACAAAGTGAAACAAGAGACATAACTCGAGATGTAATTAACGGAAATTGTTGAAATTCAATAGGCTTCTTTGTTTTACTAATTTAAAGGATGCATATAAATTTCATACTGATTGGATAATAACTTTTGTCGTTAGAGCATTCACAAGATTGAACAAAGTGAAACAAGGGCCATAACTCTAAGCATAATTAACAGAAATTGCTGAAGATCAATAGGCTTTTTCGTTTCACTAATTTAAATGATGCATATCAATTTCAAACAGATCAGATGATAACTGTTGCCATTAGAGCGTTCACAAGATTCAACAAAGTGAAACAAGGGCCATAACTCTTGATGTAATTAATGGAAATTGCTGAAATTCAATAGGCTTCTTTGTTTTACTAATTTAAATGATGCATATAAATTTCATACAGATCAGTTGATAACTTTTGTCAATAGAGCGTTCACAAGGTGCAACAAAGTGAAACATGGGCCATAACTCCAGAAGAAATTAACGGAAGGCAAGCAAAATCACACAAACCTAACCTGATAATGTGTTGTCAAACAATCACGAAAATTCATTATCAACATCTTATAATCAATTGGTCTGACAATATTAGTCTTTAATTTCCTTAAATAACTTATCTGTTAATAGCTATCAAAATATGTAAATACATGTACATGCATTTAACCTATATGTTCACTACACTATCTCAGGTCTCAGAAAATGGAAACTTTGGTATTAAATGTCAAATATTTCCTGATGATCATAATTAGAATCAAAGTTATCTTGTTCCAATGTCTACATCAATGAAATTGCTCATCGCTGCTTGAACATCAAACTCAGTCAAGAAATTCACCTAATGAACAACTACACCAAGCAACTTTCTCACTCGACTAAAAGCAGAGTTATTATGTTCCCAAGTCCTAACCAATCAAATCGCTTAGCCTATGCAGAACATTTTCATCAAACTTAGTCATGGTAATGATGTAATGGAACTATATAAAGTTTCATCAATATCACTTAATTTGAATGAAAACTATTGTCCAAAGCATCAAATAATGAATTTGCTTATCTCTGCTTAGCATTAGCAGAAAATGATCAACCTAGTCAAGGAATTCACCTACACAAAGATTGAACAGTCTAGCTCAATTGTGTAGCAAATAGTGTGACTGATGGACAGATGAACCCATTTTTAATATCCACTGCTTTCTTGTGTATCCAAAATTTGCTTGTTTGTTTAAAATCAACAAGCAAAATTTCTGATCCCTGCCAATATACAAGTTTCTAAACTCTCTTACCCAGTTAGATTCATAAATATTTTGTAATAAAGTCGCAACAAATCCGAATTGCAGCAGATAAAAATTAGTTTGTTAAATCAGTAGAACAATATCTTACTGATAACAAAATTTGGCCCAAAAATAATTTTCCAGTTGTGAAAAATCAATCAATAAAGTTGAAATATCTGGTATATCATTATTAAAGCAAATATTTTAAATGGGTTGTTTATTATGGCATATATGATTTTAAAATGCAGCCACACCCATCCCTATTAAGCTATCCAACAGAACAAAATTGGTGAGTTACATTTTCAAATATTCAAAATAGATTCTGAGGTTGACATTTCCATGAAACAATTATCATATATCTTAATAAAAACAATCATGTAATATTCTTTAAGCACAGGAAAACAAATCTACATTAGGGAAATATTTGAAAGGATCAATGATGATATATTCATTGCTGAGAGAGAAGGAAAAGATGCATTTATACAAGGTTTTATATTCTAGCTGGAATAAGAAGTAATTTCAGGAAGTCAGAAAACAAGATTCTGTTATATTGGTAACCTTGACCTGTCAAACAGTA